ATATTAATATCTACCTAAACTATCTTTTATTAACTTGCACACATCGCTTGACCTAATGACAGTTAACTTCGATAACATTTGCGCGTTTGTGACATTTTCTCAAAATATGTTTTCGGACGTCTTGAACCTATCGCAGGTTTGTTGGCAACGAATTTATTTCATACGCTTATTTACTGAAGAGTTGTCATCATGATTATACAAGTTAGCTGCAGGTAGAAAATACCTCAGCTATTGCGCCGCAATACAAAAGAAAAAGCAACAGAGGCACGCCACCTGAGTTCCTAGTAACGGATGGACATCGTTTCGGAGCGATAACATCCAGCGATCGTGCAGCAAAAAGATTTATATTATGCCTAACAAATGAGATCGTGATTGAAGGGGGTGGCTAAGCTGGAGGGGGATGGACAAAGGAACTCACAACACAAACGCCACTGTGGCCGGCTCCTAGCCATATCAGCAAGTGTGTCCAACCAAACGTGTTCATCGTCCTTAGGACCGCAGCAGGGTTTTCATTTCTCTCGGCCAAGTCATCGCTTTGCCTCTCATCCTTCCCTTGCAGCCACACCCCCAGCGCGCAAACAGTGCACGTCGCAAGAGTCGGTGTGCTGGCATGCGCAACACGTGGCCCAGCCATCGGAGCCTGGTGTGCGTATATAATGATGCTGAACGGTTCACTAGCTCCTCCTGCACCAAATAAGCGAGTTATGTCAGCATATCTATATGCATTATTTCAGCTATTTTGTGATGCTGTCTCAAGTGAATGGCTGTTGGTTGCTATCCTCGGTGTGGTTGTGCTTGATGTGCATGTTGACAAGGTGTCTACCTATTACCCGCTACTGGCTCTAGAAGACAATTGGTCGTTGCTGGGAGGGACCGGGTGCACGGTTCTTGTGGCCGTGCTAGGCTCGAAGAGCAGTTCCATGCACTCAATGTGGAGCGGACTACGATCCAGCCACCGCCTTGTGTGCGCTTGATTCCCCAAAAACAGCGTGCTTGTGTTTGTCTGTGAAGGAGTGTGGACTGGCTCCGTTGATGAAACGTGACTCCCATCCACATGCTTCCAGGTCTTAATGCTTCAGGTTTATAGTGGTAATGGAGTGTGTGGGTGGTGCAGTGCAAGGTACAGGTGCTGTGGCTGGCCACAGTGATAGGCAAATCCGTAAGCGGATGCCGCCAACCATATATACTGGCGGGAGAGCTCATGGTGCGTACTACAAACGCTGCGCCGGTTCTGCTTACGTTCTCAGCAGGACCCGTCGTGGTTTCGATGTTGCTCCCGAGTGGCCTTGCTCGTGGCTCACTAGGCCTGCTAGACTCAGGCACGGGTAACCGCATGTGCTACAGCACCCTGCGCTCAACGTCGATAGAGTACACCCCAACGGCGACTGTCGCCTCTTCTCTACACGCAAAGGGCGTTCTCTTGCACCTAGGCAACGGCCTATCAACCGCCTTCGAATACAAAGAACTGCAATCAAGGTTAGAAGGTAATAGGCTCCCTTTCATCATGCCCTGGTAAGGAAGCTTCGGTTTCCCCACATGCCGATTTCCCGCACTCAGTCGACCAAATAATAGCTCCTTCGGTGTCTTCGTCCGACCCATACGCCACACATGACCGAGCCATCTCAAGTGTTACAGCAACAGTACACAGTCCAATGCATCCATTCCACTTCGCCGCACCAACCGATGCGCAGAATCCGTCGCAGACACTGTTGGTGAAACCGCTCGAGACATCTCACATCTCGCCAGTACATCGTCCACGTTCCTCTGCCGTATAGAAGAACGGACAGCACCATGGATTTGTACACCATGAGCTTCGTGTCGACGGTAAGCCTATCGTTGTTCCACACTCGGTCCTCAAGCTTCCCGAATGCCGCCGCTGCCTTCGAGACGCATGTAGCTGCTGGTCAGTCGAAACCACACTCCAAAGATAGCAGAACCGGGGGGTAGTGTCCAATACTTCGTCACGAATGCTTTTTTGCGGCAATATTTCAGATTGCACCTCCGTTGAAATTGAAAGAGATAGACAGTTTTGGTTGTGTTGATGGTGAGCCCGAATTTGGCCGTTGTCGAAGCCATAACACTAGTCTTGTGCTGCAACTCATCCGCGCTGTGTGCAAACAACGCACAGTCGTCAGCGAACAGCAGCATACGGATAGTTGTTTTACAGACCTGAAGATAAATACTGAACAGGGCAGGAGCTAAAACACAGCCTTGCTTCACACCAGAAACAACTGCAGTCATCCGAGGTCTGTCCACTCAGCTGCACCTTCGCCCACATACCACTGTGCAGGCTTTCAACTTACAAACTTACTCAGGCAGCCAAATTTACCCAACACTAGCCACAATGCCTCGCGGTTCATTGTATCAAATGCTTTGCTGACATCAACAAACAGCGAGTACAACGGCTGGTGTCGTTCTCTACACTTTTCTTGCAACTGACGAGCCGCAAACACCATGTCGATGGTGCTGCGACCCGAACGGAATCCACATTGCTCTTCCGCCACGTTAAGTTCCACAACCTGACTGGCGAGGCGGTTGAGTAGGATTCGGGCTCACACAACTCAGCAAGTTGATACCACGATAATTCGTGGCACGTTGCTTGCTTCCTTTGTTCTTGTACAGTGGTTGTACAAGGGCATCCTTCAACTCAGAAGGCACCTCCTCAATCCACATGCGTTGCACCAAGTCATGCAGTGCAGTCACCAACGCGGGTCCACCGTGTTTCAATACTTCTGGCGGGATCCCGTCGGCACCGGCACACTTGTTGTTTCGCAGCTAAGCAAGTGCTCTCCGCGTCTCATCCACTGTCGGCGTGTCCGCCAGACTCAACATCACGTGCTACTTTAGACCGTTCAAGGTAGGCCAGTCAATCTCTGAACGACGGTCGAAATGAGTTCGCCAGATCTGCATTATGTCTGTAGTCTGCGTGCAGGCAGCGCCTGAATTAGCATCGAGCAACGTCCTCAGTGACTCCAACCTCGGTCCATACACCGCCATCAGGGAGTCAAAGAACTCCTTTTGTTGGCGGCGTTCGTCGTAGCATTCCATCTGCTTCGCCTTCTCCGTCCACCATGCGTTTTTAATACGACGGATCTCTAGGGTCAGTCGCCGGCGAATTCTGCGAAACTTACTCTTCTTCCTCAGGTCGCTGGAGTCTGTTACATATGTAACATTGTTTGCTGACACCAATGCGCCAATCATCTCATTGTTCTCGTCAAATCAATCGGGTCGTTTCAGTTTGCGCGATCGACGGTCTGCTCAGCCGCAGCTGTCACCTGGTCACGAATGTGGTGCCACAGATCGCTCACTGTGGCTATGCATTCCACATCACGCAGGCGTGCAGCCATCGCCTTCTCCAGGTCAATATGTTTCGCCACAGTACCGAGGGAGAGAACGTTAAATACACGCCGGTTCACAGTAGGATTGCAATAGGTAGATTTGCGAAAGTATATATACAGCTTGGTAAGCATCAATTTGTGATCAGTGCCACACAGCTCCACGCACGCTCCATGCGCACTTTACGCATATCACGCTGACGTACTCCGTGGGTGCGTCCAAGTTGCTTTATCACTCGCATTCAGTGCAAACCGAGTATACGTGATCGTCAGGCCGTGAGTTGCATAGTGAGAAAAGCCTGTCGCCGTTCGTATTCGCTGAACCTATATATATATATATATATATATATATATATATATATATATATATATATATATATATATATATAAACCTGCGGCACAGATATCGTGCTATCAGTCATGGCAGAATAAGAGAACGGGATAGGAATAGGGAAAACGCGCTTTTTGTCTTGTTTTTCACTAACAGTTTTTTCTAATTGTTTGTTCAATTGGAGAAAGGAAGGGAAATCACCGCGACCCGCGAAGACATAGGTTAGCGATCGACGTCAGTTTTGAGTCATGGCTTCCACGGTCTCTAACCAGCGACACTATCTCTGAAATCCCAACCAGGGAGTCGAGAAGAACTGACTGAGGCCCACTGTTACGTTAGCTTTTTCATGTGGCCGCGACTTCTCTTCCAACCCCGTGGAGCAACTGCGAACAACGCTCGACGCGGAAGACGATAAGCTGGTATGCGTAGTACATGTCCCAGCTACCGCAGCTGACGCAGCGGGACAAGCCCCTCGAGCGAGTAGCTGTCTCCAGGCAAGACACGCTATTTAACTTCTACATTGGTTACGTGGTGCAGCCACCGCATACGGTCAGTGGACCACAAGCAACGGTGCTCGAAGACAGACAACCGGCGCAGGTCAACGGTGCGGACAGGCCATGTCTCACAACCGCACAACAGCGCAGCGCGCACAGCCGCACAATAAACCCGCTCTTTGATGGAGAGATGGATGTCAAGGCGGCGCTACAAGTGCCTCAGCTTAGAATGGATGCCACCAACCATAGTTTATGTATGCATGTATAGACGAGTTTATGGCCCACTGGAAATTGTGAGATATAACCATCAGAGAGGATCCGTGGAGCCCATCAATCTGAGTTCATAATCCGTGGGCTGTTGCCTCCAAAATGGCAAGCTTTTGAAGAAAGAGGGACACCGAATACTTCTCAACTTCCGATGAGGACATCAGTCTAGTGTGAGCTGATTGATAGAGCATGGAACACCAAATGTGGATGGATGAGGCTCACATTCCACATACCAAATTAAGAACCAGTTCCGTTTTGACAGATTACTTGCACAATGATATTGCCAGACCAGCAAACAAAAGACGTGCCATGTAGCGTAAAACTTCACTGCGTAACCAGCTGTATGGCGGTGGCAAGCTCTCCATGGTAACGTGGAAATGCACATTTTGCTCATTACCTATGTGAGCGAACTCTTCTGATGGTCAGGTTAACTTCGTTACTGCATTAGTAACACCTATTACCACTGTAGCTAAGCTGATAATGGCAGCGCGGTGAAAAAAATGCGCATCCAGTGAGCAGAGTTCGCGATGGGTAAGAAGGGAACGACGTGATGGGCCAGTTAAAGAGGCTTACACAAAAAGGGTAATGCATGCGATGGATGCAACTTGAATTCGAAGCAGCACGAAATGTCGTCACTCCAGAAAACACAGATCAAAGAAAAATCGGCTCTTCAAATTTCAAAGTTGCGTAGTAAAAGTAAGTAATAGGGAAAAACCCTGCAATCGTATTAAGATGAAATGGGAAAGCTGCCAGTTTGCAAGTATTTGAGGCAGTGCACTGAACACGGAAACAAGATTAGGAAATCGCTCAAACTGATCAGGGCTTTTGAACTACAATGACACAATGTTACCTGTTTCTTCAGTTTCTTCAGCATGGATTGCAACGACAGCTGACCATCATCAACAGTATTCCACTTGTGGATGACTAATTTCGACATGGACCTGCGAAAACCAGCGAATACCATAAGATATGACGTAAGTAACCGTTTTAAGAAAAGTCGGTCATTCCGGTGGGAAGTATATTTTGTTAGCAAAGGAATTGCATGAATTGTTAAAGTCCTCGCGCCAAGGTAAAATGAAATCTACTTCAGCGGATGGAAGGTTCCGTTAAGGTACACTTCTAGTGGACTGAGCATTGCAGCAACAAACGTGACCGACTGAGCTGAAATCTGAGAAGAAAGGAAAATTGGAACTCGTATTGTCGCAAGTTTGAATGAAACCACAGTGGAAACAAGTGCGGACATCCGCGAATTCAAACCAGGTCACATGACTTATAATTTTAAATTGACTTATTGGACCACTCATCAAATAACAAAACATCCGAGTTGTGAGACAGTTTCATAAGAGGTTACATGAAAAGTGATTCACAGGATACAAAATCTTGTAGAATACTTAGAACCGATCGAGAAACCATGAGTTCAAAATAATTTGGAAATAATGAGCTGGTGTATTTGTTTGGCAACGTTTCGCTGTTGAGACATAAACTTCGTCAGATCAGATGAATAAGTAATCAGTTGGAACCGAGTGTTTTAGCGAACTGGGACAACAGGGGCATGCATCAAGATGTTATTAGTCATAGGACGGGATATCATCTCGAGTGTCACAGCGGGAAAAGTCCATGTGCTCCCTAGTGCACAATTACAATGGCAGATAAGCTCTTGGTGACGGCGATGGAGTCGATTTTCACCTTCCAACGGGATTCGCTCATCGACGCTCGACTGGTCGGATTAAGATCGCTGTACTCGAGTGTTTCAACCCCTTCACTGTTTACGCAGCTGTCGCCTCGGCAAACAACCTCTGGGGCGTTGCTCGTATACCTCTTCTAATGATGGGTACACTGACCAAGTCGATCTGTCTAATGCATGCACAGTCACGGCCAAGCCTTTTAATAGTGACCGGTATCCAAAATCGTTCGTCAGTGGTTGTGAAATGCGCCTTTTGTGCTCCAAAATTCGTATCCGTATCTTTCCCGCAGTTTGGTCTATGTACACATGTACAGTCTTTCAATTTAATTTTACGGACGCAATTTGTTGTTCTGCCTTTGAGAAAGGGGTCCTCTAGGTGCGGAATGCTGACTGCTATATTCTCCCCATTTAGTATACTCCGAATTGCCTCCGACGTTCCCTCCCTGTACGGAATTCCTACTGTTCCTATCCACTTGGTTGTGGGTTTTGACTATTGTTTTAGCACTATCTAATTGGCATTTGAGTGACCGACGTGAGTAACCACTATCTAATAGTTTGCCCATTATCTCTTCTCGGGCGGCTTCTCTGCTCTCCTCTATCGTGTATAGGATTCACGCCCGGTGGAGCAGAGCTGTTATCGCAGCGTAAACGTTTTTGGGATGGCCCGAAATGCAGTGGAGTACCCCATCAACATCCATCAGTTTGTGATATATGGTCGCTTTGAAATTCTCCCTAATCGTATGAACTAGATAGTCAAGAAACGGTACTGTACCGCTACAAGATCCCAACTCAAAGGAAAATGTGTCATCTCCTCAATGGAGTTTAAATAATCAGCAAAGCATCCCTCTTATCCCGTTTAACAATTACATAGGTATCATGTACATAACGCTATCAAACTTTCGAGGAGCCGCGTTCTCGAATTCCTCCATATAAAAGTTCGCGCGCACGGAGAATATCCACGATGCCATCGCAATGACACTGGACCTTTAAGTGATGTGCTGGTTTGCGTGCCTTGGAGATTCATTACATTTTGCTGGGTGGTACTTTTTGCACCTTCAGATTAGTCAATAATTAGAGATAAGAAAAACAGCCTCCTGGTCATCCAGATTGGAGTGAGGGTGGACCCTTATTCCTTAAAACGGATTCCTTGTAGTCCACCGCAAGTAAGTAAGTAAATCCACCGCGGTAAGGTTTTTGGACCAAAGACTTTGGTTGAGAAACCTAATCGTTCTTTTATCTGGACCTTGGTAAACTGACAGTATCCTTTCCATGCAATACTATGAAACCTTCATTAAACAGTTTCTTGATGCTCTGGTCGTCGCAGAGGATAAAAAACGGCGCCCTATCTGCCGCATCGAACAGGCTGGATAAGGGTTTTGATGCAACTGATCAAGCCTTTTCGTCGTCTTATCCCTCCTCTTACGATTTTTCAACCTTATCGTCTAGTTCCAACTTTACTTTCCCCCAACCGTTCTCAATCCCCTAATTCTTGACCACCTCACCACGCTTTGATAGATGTCTAGCTTCTAGTTTCGCGCGCCGGGGCGTGGATAGAAGAAAAGGAGAGGTGGCTAAGCGATGGCTTGGTAGAGAGGAATGAAAGCCCTCATTTGGAAGCTGGCCTCGGTTGGAGAATCTCGGCTCCCTGTTTGGGGTCCGAAAGACGATGAACACCTTTGGCTGGATGCACTTGCTGACATGGCTAGGAGCCGACTACAATTGCGTTCGTGCTGTAAGTTTCTTTGTCCCTCCCCATCCCCTTTAGCCTCTCATTCCAACCACGAACTCATTTCTAATCATAATATAATTTTACATGATAATTTTTGTTGCATAATAGCCAGCTGGTAACTTTCCGGAACGATACACATTCGTTAATGGCAACCCAACTGGCATGCAAGTGTTGCGTTTCTATTTTTTCTGTGTATTGCGACACAGTAGCCGAGGTGTTTTCCACCTCTAGCTAACGTGTATAATTGTGACGATGCTCCGATAATGGGATCTTGCTCCATACTGCAAAAATCGACCGAAAAATTAAGTATATGTGAAGACATCCCGTGCTAATCTTGACTATTTGGTAATTTTAAGTTTCATTTATTCAGACATCTTACTATTCCCCGAACCCTACCATCAGCTCATTTGGATCAATAGTGAAACGGAATTTTTGCAGCGAACTTGTAAGAATCGATGCTGCAGCGATTTTCATGCTAGTTCGCTATAACAATCCGCTCCATCTCTATAACGATTCACCTGGCTTGACGAAGCATGCGCCAACTGCGAGATGTTGCGCAACAAAAACAGCAAACTACTGTTTCCAAATTGAAGTCATGATCAATAGGATAATTTGAATAAGTAATACCATGACGTGTAAACAACGGTTGCGTACTCACAGTCGATCCAGCAAAAAGCAGTCCCGGTGGTGACAGGCGAGTCAAACCTGAGTCCATGGACTTCTTTGAGATGATGCGTGATATCCGGTAGAGTTCCATTTTCCTTACAGGCCCGAAATGTGCAACTAAACTTTGGGGAGTTATAAAGTAAAATGAGCTATACTTACAAGAGTCCGTGTGTCCGCTCGTGCACTACCAGTGAACGTTTGGTGAAGAAAGTAAGGTGGCACGATTTGCACAAGTGAGTGTGACATGATAAGCAATGACATGTTTCCATGTCTACATCAGAAGCCAGACTCCCACAGAAGCACCTGCTGTTGCATCATTAAATGAACATTGCACAGTTAATACTTTCCATTAAAAACTGGACAGAGTGTAAGGTTGCATTCCGGGATTTGGGTTAAGTGATTCAATCGTCGGAAAACCTGGTCAGACGTGGACGCGACACGGAGCGCGGGCATTGACGCCATCTAAATCAACACCAATAGTTAACAGAATCAAGTTCCGGTTAGAGTTGAGCTGTAACGATAGAAGAAATCTAAGAACATTTTATTGTAAAACCGTTTCTAGTCTGGAAGCTGATAATGTTACTGGAGTATCACATGGTGCTAAGTTTGCTCTCCTCCGTTACCCATTGAGCTACGCTGGGTGACACTTTCCAAGTGCTTTCGGAGCCACTCATACAATACAGGCCAATAGTTAGAGTTCAGACTAACTGTCGCATTATTCTCTTTGAAGGTTAGGGAGTGGGCAATGGTCCTCATTTTTTAAAACCATGCTATAGGCGATAACAGGTTTATGGGCTATAAGCTCACGACTTGTTTGGCATAGAGCGCTGGCGCTACACATCACATAAATTATATATTTTCGACAACGCAAGGCACGTCTGTCTCCGACGGTGAGAGGGCAACTTCTGGTGCTCAATGGTCTGCTACCACCCACTTCAAGCCAGGCAGGCCGTCGTCCAATTGATGCAAACTCGCCAACACCCACATGCGGCTGGCCGTAGTCACAATTGCGCAATCTACTGTTGTCGAAATACTGTATTATCCCTGACATTCGGAAGCCGCATAAACCAAGCTTTAAGCAGATCACCATGGGTCTGCAATCATACTCCCGAACTTGACTTGCTCTCCACTAATTTTGGGTCAGGCTATTGAGACGAGGGCTCAGGATGGAATCCCACAGCGAACGTCTATTTTCCCGACCGATTTGTGGATCAATGGCTGAGTCAACGATTCGAGCAGCCGGAGATATAATCTGCCCATTGAACCACGTCGGCAATACTTATTCCTCTCCTTGATTACTCTAATTTTGCAGTTTTCTCCCAATGAAGAGGACTGCTGATGACTTCACAACAGATGCTTTCGACACATGTAATTCGTACAGAAAGTAACGGTCCAATTTCACATTGTTTCCCATAACGTCCGCCATCTAATACAGATCCGCCAACAAGTAGCACTCCTTTAAATATGTGCTGTCTCTGAAGCACGTATTGTGATAAATCTTAGACTGCTTAATTCACAGTATACCGACAATGACTACACTCTTCGCTCTTTGGCAACAATGGGTCAATGGCTCAGGAGATTCTTGATGCTTATTTCGCTTTCAGCACATATGCTGAATGCAACCTATTCGACAGGACACCACTGAATGTTTGCAGTTTGACTTTGAACCACTAGTGGAGTTAATAAGCACTGTCTGAAGACAAGGTGCCTTACCACCACACTGCACTCAGAGTGCAGTACGGAGAGTATGAAAGATGATTTCTATCGTCAGCTTCCATCAAATTCTCCGCACCATAGCAGAGACCGGACCTTAGCGTAGTGCGATGGCTTGCGTAGCTCCGTGACGCACTGAACTACGATGGGTGGTACTTTCCAAGAGCCGTCAGAGCCTCTCATGCCAGACAGGTCAATGGTTAAGGTTCAGACTAACTCAGTCTTATAATTCAATGCTCTTCAGAGGTTAGGGAGAGGTCGATGGCCCTCTTCCTTTAAAACATATCCATGGGCGTCAACAGGTTTACTAGTTATAAGCTCACAGCTCGATTGGCGTAATGTATGATCGCCACGCATTTTCTCCGAGGTTGGGAAGACAACTTCCAATGCTCAATGTTTTGCGTTCGCCCGTCTCCATCCGCGCAGCCCATGGTCAAATTGTTGCAAACCCGTCAACTCCCACCTGCGGCTGGCCATGGTTGTAGGTGCGTAACATTATACGGTCGTAAAATACATGTGCAATGTTCTAAATCTTCAAAGGCTGCGTGCAACAGACTTCTAAAAGATACCAATTGGTCTCTGCTTTCATGCTCCGCATTGTCTTGTGCGTCAGACTGTTGAGTCAAAGATTAGTGTCGGGACATCTCGAACAAAACCCTCTATCTCTCATCTGCTCCATCATTCACGTCGACAATACTCCCTCTTCTTGTTTTCCTCTCTCCTCTCCCCTCTTTTATCTGTCTATTAAACAAGAGACTGCAGCTGCTGCCATTGATACATGTAACTCTTCCATTAAACCTACAGTGTCATTTCACATTGGTTCTTTTAATGTCCGAACTCTAGATCGGATCGGCCAGTAGGCAGCATACAATATAACAGCATCGTAACGAATCCCTGGTTCTGAATCTGACGACGACTGCTGCACTCCTCGCAACTTGCGACACTGGATCAATGTGCCAAGATATGTACGATGTTAGTATTGCCCTCAGCCAACCTGCTGAAGGCAACCGGCTCGACTGGATACCGGTAAACAAATGTATATGTGCGGTTCCACTTCGAACCTCTAATGGAGTTAATAAACAACATCTAAAATATGGTGCCTTTTCATCGCCTCAGTTTATGCTTCCATTTAATAATAATAATAATGTGCTAGCTGTACCCTGTTACGGCGCTTCGCTGCCGCGCAACCACCACGTCGCGCGCGGGATGAGTATACCGCGAGGAAGCCCATTCCTACGCGGATTCCAACCGGTGACCTTATGGTTGCAAACCAGGCGCGCGGATCACTCGGTCACCTGCCGACATGTCTCTACTTACTACAATTTCTATCGACAGTTCACATCTCTTCTTCGCATGGCGAAGAATATCGACATTGTGACTGTTGCTGGTGACATGAATGCCCAACTGGGTGATCTTTCCCTCTATGAACAACACCTGGGCAGCCGCTTCCTATTCGATGCACGCTGAACAGACAATGGTGATCGATTCCTGCAACTGTGCGCTGACCATGACTTTTACATTATCAGCACTGCTTTCCAGCTCAAACATCCATACCGCTTCACTTGGCGCTCACTAAATTTCTTAATGATCTCAATCCAAATTGACCACATTGAGACCAGCTACAGATGATGCATATCAGTCTAAGACTGTCGGTCGATCTGCAGCAGGTGCCTAGATTCTGACCATGCCCTAGTGCGCGTACGCCTGGTGCTCACTCTTCCCGCTTCTGGGAAGCGCCTATGTTCTAACCTTCTTACCTATAGTTTGCTATCTGCTGCTATCTGGAATTCGACAATATAACGAATGGGCCCACCAAGTACCAGTGATGAATGAGGTTGGCGAGCCGAATGATGACAAGGACCGTATCAAAAGTGCCATGAAGAAAGCTAGGGTTGTCCTACATCTTCTCTCTTCAACTTTGTGATCGAAATGATCATGAACGACTTGGTTCCTTCAGACTATTCTAGAGTGGAAGTTCTTGCCAGGTGACCGACTGACAAACCTTAGGTCCGACACTACCAGTCATCATCATCATCAACAACAGTACAACAGCCATTTGAACTGATGCTTCGCTGCCATACAACCATGAGGACCTATGAAATAAAAAATAAGAAGAGGGAGAGAAGGGGGACTTACCTGAAAACAATAATGCCCTAAGCAAACATTCAGGGTCAAGGCGCCTACACCTTGTGTTAACAGCATACCGTCACAAACAGCTGGCTATCGTGAAATGTCAAGGCGGCATCGGCGAGACAGCTTCCCTGCGGCTTTCACTGCTATGCGTCATAATCAGCCATTACCCCGCAGATAACTCAGCACCAAACACACTTTAAACAGGCAATCAAATTAGGAGATGGCAGCAGACTCGCCACTGGTGTCTACTGCGAGCCATGTCCTGTAAAGTCTCGAGCCAAGCACAAGGCGAGTCACGTGGACTTCAGCCCGGGAAGGCGAGACGGACCAACGGCACCCAGTTTGGTCGTCAGTGACTTCATTTCCCGCTGCCAAGTCAACTTCTGTCCACCTCGAGCCTTGCGCCACCCTACACCTGGCAGACTAAACAAGGACCTCCTAGGTAAGCGGTGACCAGGCATACATGGCACGTGCCCGAGTCAACGCAACTTATTCAGTGCTATCTGTTGTTCTAGGGAGCTAGCATGATTATCACCACCTAGTACTCGCCTACGCACATCATCGTTGCGGACACGCTGGTGCCAGCCGACTCCAGCAATGCTTCGCAGACATCGATGATCAAAGACTTGAAGGCGCCTCAGATCTTCAGACCGAAGGGGCCAAGTCTCACTACCATAGAGCAGAACGGCCCTCACTGTGGCCTTGGATACCCGGCCTTTCAGACGGAGGGAAACTCGCTTCTGTCGCCAAAGATGCCGCAGGTTCAAGAAGGTAGCTCTGGCTTTTGCAATGCGTGAGCTGACGTCAGTTTCTATGCGTCCATCATTGCTGATGCAGCTGCCAAGATAAGTGAAATGATCAACCACCTCGAGTTCCTCGTTAGCAAGCGTCAAGGGGTCATCAAGTGGCTGGTGGTGCTGCAGCAACACTTCGCACTTTGAAGGTGCGAGGTGCATACCAAATAATGGGACAACCAAACGGAGGCTATTAAGGGTTGATTGGGCCACCCCAACGTCATTGAAAAGCAAGACGATATCGTCTACATAATCTAGATCAACTAACTTTTCACCAGGCAGCACTTTAACACCTACATCATGAGATTCCGCGAGGGAACATTCCATGATAGAATCCACGACGAAATTGAACAAAAATGGAGAAATCGAACAACGCTGACGAACGCCACTTGTGGTCGGAAAGCTATCCGACAGGACACCGTAGACCCTGAGGAAGCCTGTAGTGTTCGAC